CATTGTAGTAATTTATTTATTCTAAACACATCTTATATCTTTTATCCATCCCATTTTCTGGTCTTCAGTACAATAATTAAATAATTGCACATATGTTTATGTCAATGAAAGAATGTCCAGCGTTAGAAAAAGTCTTATAAGAGTTTATTTGAGCCAAACTGACAACCATTGCTGGGAAGCAAAATCTCAGTGGATTGGGAAAATGCTCCAGAGAATGGCAGTTTGCAGTTTATTTTATACATTAGAATCAAAGGAGATATAAGGGGGTTACATGAAATCCATTTGGTGGTAGATTAGGGAGGTGGGAGAAAGCAAAGTGGAGAAATCTCTGAGATTAGATAAAAAGTAAAACACAGAGATGCATCTTATACATCAGTGGGTACAGGATAGTAAATATTTACGGGACACCGAATGGCATGTGGGCAACAATACAACAGTGTGGTCTCGTGCTCTGGTGCGGGTGGTTGTGCCTTCGAGGAGTCTGGAAAAGAAAATTACCCTGACATTTCAAAGGTATGTTATCTTAGATGCACAAAGAAAATAGACAATTTCAAAGGTAAAGGTTGACCTTTCTCAAGGAAGCTACAGGCCTAGGACATGACTACCCACCATGACCCACTTTTCATTAGGATTTTTTACGTTCAGACCACCTTGAGCTTGTCAGGTTTACTATGTGACCCTTTTTCATCCACAGTTACAAGGATGAGTAAGATGTAGTCTTTGTCCTCAGATATCATGTAGTTTATTAAAGGAGATGGCACAAGGCAGCTTTGAACTTTGGAGTCTAGTACATATTCTTTTTGAGCCTCCTCCCCCCTCCTTGTGCCATTTCCCCTTCCTGTTTCATCAGTTCCGGATGAGTTTATATTATCCAATTTGTTGGGTTATACAGATGTCATAAACTCATTCGTACTAAGGTACTTGAACTTCATGTGTTTTGCCTGCCAAGAGCTTCAGCATTTAAAGTGCTTAAGACAGAAGAGTTACTTGCCAGTACATTAGTATAGTGGTGTTTAAAGCATGGGCTTTGTTGTCCGTCAGATCTGGATTCAAGTTCTGATTCTGCAAGCTTGCTGGCTCTGTGACCTTAGATGATTTACTTCCTCTCTAACTTTTAGGTTCCTCACCCAAAGCACAGGTATCCTTCGAGTTCCTATTTTATAGGACTGTTATGAGAATTGAGATAATGCCTGTGAAACACATTACCTGGCACATAGTATAAGTTATTAGTATTGGTGTCGCTAGTAGTATAGGCAGTTGGGGAGAGATTTGTGGATTAGAGAGGTCATCCTACATAGTACTGAGTTAACAACTTTCTCTACTTAAGTATCAACTATAACCAAATCATTTAAGGACAAGTTTCTGCCATTTCCAGTGCTGGCATCCTTTTGCTCTTTATGATTTCAGTGGCAACACAATTTAAATCAGGCGTTCACAGTCCTGCCCGAGATAGCTTCACTTCAGCATCTATGTCTTTAGGCTGTCAGCCCAGTCCTCAGAACGGAGGAGAGCATTTGATTGGGGGACACTCCCAGTTTGACTCAGGTATCTCAGACAAAACCTCAAGATGATCCACATGCCATTCTCCCAGTGTTTGGCACAGTGACTAGATTGGATTTCCTCAGGTCAACAAAGTATTGTGTCATAAAACTGAGTACTAGAAAGACAGACTAAAACCAATCCACTGGTTTCCAAACTTGTGTGCATGTGTGTGATGGTCTTTACTCAACAAAAGCTTATGCAGAATGCCAGTAACACTGGTATGTGGAGCATCAGGTTGATGCAGAGGTACAGGGCCTGGGACTCCTTCACCAGGTGGCCCCCCTTTCTCTTTGAATCGCTTCCAAGGAACCCTCAGGATTCTGAAGAAAACAATTTGATAAATACTAACTGAATCCCTTTTATGTAGTTGAGAAATTGGGGTCTAACATGGGGTCATGAACTAACTGAGGCTCAACCTGGCCTAGAATGCCTTAAAAACCTTAGATGGTTAATAGTGCTTAAGAAGCAGCAGTTACTTACAAAGTATGAGTGGGGAAGCTTTAGTATGTGCGTTCATACCTCTAACTCTATTCCCAACTCCTGTTATATCTAATTTCAGGATTAGGGAAAGAGTTCCAAAGGTCCTGTCGAAAGCCTGGGTGAGACCACTTTCTGGGCCAGAAGATTCAGGGATCAGCTTGGCAAGGGGCCGGTAATAGGCCATGGCAGGAAGGAAACTTGCAGAAACGGGTTGTGGAGAGGCCTCCAGACTGGCTACTTCCAATTTGCCTTGGTTTGGCCATGTGGGCGACCTTTGCCCATGTCGTGCTTGCTGAAATTGAAAATTGAATGAAAATGTGAAGGCTTTTTTTTCTCCTCCCCAACAGCTCACAAAGAAAGTGAACAACATAGAGACAGGCTGGGCCTTGGGAGCCACCTTTCACTTGCTGCAGTCTCTGGGCATCTCCCACTGAGGCCACGCCCTTCCTCTGAGGCCTGTATTTGCCAACAACCTTTTACCGGGAGAAGGAGACAAGACTCAGTCATGTTATGAGGCGGTCTGGAAACCACCTGGATTGAAACCCAGCAGCTGGCTTCATCAGGAGGAAGAGGTTTTTGTAGACAGCTCTTGCCCTTAAGTCTAGAGATTTGGGTTTAATTAATTTTACACATCTAATAGGAACTGGTACCTAACCATTCTGCTTGCACGGCTGGTACTAGAGTCTAAATTTTTGAGCATGCTTGTGTGTCACAGAGAGCCAAAAGGAAGAGCTTTGGAACTTAACCAAAGAAAAATCTCATTTCAACCTTTTGAGTGCCTCTTTCCTTTTGAACATTTTAAGTTTCCTCTTACATGTTAATCTTAGCTGACTGATTGCAATCCCATAGCCTGTCAACACCAGTATATTTTTCCTCCCTGCACATTGCCTTGTCCCACCCTTACCATACCCATCCACCCACTTGCCCAAAAAAGAGGGGGAAAAATACCTGGTTTTGTAATTCAAGAGGAAAGAAAGGTACCATCTCTGAAGTTGTGTGGTCCTGCTTTGTGCTAGCTCCAATCAGCCAGCTGAGAGCTGTCCTCTTAGCAGGAGAGCAACTCCTACCTGTACAGCCTTAAGAAAAGAGGCCATCCAGTCTCTAAGGACATGTTTTGGGAGAGCGTGGCTGCCTTGTATAGGCCACCTTCTTTTAATCAACTTTTTACGTCAACCGTGAGATTAATGAGTATGTCCAACCAAGGAATATGTGTTTATTCAGTGCCAGTGCCTCCTTCCAGGCTCTGTTTATAGTAATTTGTCATCCTAATTTTATTTCTTTGTATTTCTAAGAAGTACATCTCTACCCTTCTATTGGAGGATCTAGATTTTGGCCGTAGCTCCTTTCAGTTTGCCCTTTTATTCTGTTTATAGCAACATTTCCTCCTACCTGGCCCCTGATCATTTTAGCTACCATCTCCTAAATTGTCTAGTTCCAGGGTTTCTCATACCCTTCTCGATGATAAGCTAACATTTTATTTTGTTGGCCATTTTGGCCCTCACACTGTGGATTCTCTTTTTAGGTTGGAATGCTCTGAGCCCTTCATTTTGTGAATTACTTCCCCTAAAATTCATTATCTCGTACTTTCCCATAGGCCCATCACCTGCTTCTTGTCTTCCCGCTCAGCGCCCTTGGGCTTGAAGGATCTTCCTGTTGACTGGCTCTTTGACCTTGGCTCTTTACCTCCAGCTTCTTTCCAGTAGTTTGTATCTTCCACACTTGTAGCCATCTCAGTAGCTTTCTTCTGGCTCTCTCACCAAAAAAATGTTATTAAACACCTGGCCCTCACAAGAGCTCCTTTTTTAAAGTTATTCCACTGAGTCAGTAAGTGGTTAACATCTGATGTGCAAGTAGCTAGCCAAATTTTATCTTTATCCCCCACATTTTAGTGTGTTGTTTGGTTTCTTTATTTCATTGTGGAATTTTTTCAGATTCTTCATACTGACTTTATTTTCTTTTTTCACACTGACTTTTATTATACCAAGGTCACCTTGATACCTATTGTCTTCCTCAAAAGAATGCTAAATCTTTAGAGTTGGAAACAGCCCAAAGATATAATCCAGCCTTCTAACTGTTGCAGAATCCCCTTAACATTTCTAAGTAGCTGTATTTAGCTTCTGGTTAGCATGTTTTGAGACAGCTCATTGCATTTGGGACAGCACTGATGTTAAAAATCCCTTCAATGTGGCGCTGCAATCTCTCCTCTCAGTGGTCTTCTCTAATCCCTCCTTTCACAGCCTTTCCATCTCCTGAAGAAAATTCCTCTCGAGTCCTTTGTGGTCTCTCCTTTAATAGAACACTTGGCTTCTGGACCCCTTACCATTTTTGTCACACAGGTTGAGTGCTAGAACCAGTCATACACTAAATGTTGTTCCACATGATTAGGGAGAGACCAGTTTCTCTAGTAGAAACCAAGTGTTTTCCCCAAGAGGTAAGCTGTGTTCACTAAAGACTCCACCAGTTTGACGGTTGAGAGAGGCAAGATTCCCTGGTCTTTGTCATAGCTTGTCTCTGAAGATTCTCTTATGGACAGAGGCTGTTCAGACTCCTTTGGTCATCCCAAGTACCTCCAGAACTCTTGGATAGATGCATTAACTCCAGAAATGTGTCTACCTAAATTCTGATCATCTTGACTAGAACATCTGGAGAGAATTAACCAGTTTATCCATGTTAGGAGCAATATGGAATAAGAATTTTTATTTCTTAGAAAAAATGACTTGTCTATAATGTCCTTTTGCCCCTTAGTGTACCTTTTGGGCCTCTTATTGAGGAATCCTATAGTGGCTAATATTGCTGGTTACGTTTCTTTTCTATAAATGTGTTTATATATTTCAAATACTTAGGACCTGGCTTGGCACATAGTGGACATTGTGTGTTTACCATCATCATATGAAGAACATCCTCTGTGGTAACGGAGGGCCTTGCTAGATGTGCCTTAAAATTCTTCCTATTTTGCCTGATTTTATTTGCATACTTTTGGAGAGTCCATGTTCTCCTTTCCTGGGCTACCTTTCCAATTTTTGTGAAAGATGACCTTTCCCTCCCCATTCAGTGGTGACCTTTCTGGACTCTGCTAGTAGTCATACAACTTTCACAGTAGTTGCCATCTTTCATTCTGGGCACATCTTTCCGGAGATTCCAGGAACATTTGTGACACTATCACTTTTTACTCTAGTATCTTATAAATTTTCTGCATTTGCCTGAAAAGCTCCCCTGTAGAAACATCTTTCTCATTCCTTCAATAACTAAGCTAAACTAAACAGAATAGTTTAGCTTGGTTCAAAAACAGACTGTTTCTTCTCATTTCATCAACAAATCAGACAAAATTTTCTTTACAGTATACAAATCTAATGGATCGCCAAATCTCTTCAAGAGGCATCTCTGGTACTGCGAAGTGAGCTCTTCAAACACCCACAGCACCCCTACACCCATTAGCCACCAGTCCGCAACCAAATATGACAAATTCTGCTGCTAATCAATCAGATTTTCCCTTTGACCTGGCTCCTGAAGTTCTCAAACCTGTGCAATGAAACTATTTATTGTTTTGTCACTGAACAGACAATGGTGTCCCAGAGAGGAACCATAAATAAAATTGAAATCCGGTGCTGTGATAAGGAAGTAATAATGAGCAACAAGATTTGGTTTTCTTTTTAGAAAGTCCAGTGCACCTACAACAAAGGTTAAAGCAATTTATTTTTAATTTTAAAACAGTAATTCTAACAAAAATGCATCAATTGAATATTTCTAATTCTTCTTTATCAAAAGATAATTGTATAAATTTATGACCAGCCTTTAAAAAAAACTATAGATCTTCTCTTTAGAAAGGATTGTTAACAAGTGAAAATGAATGATATAGCACCTTAAGTTGTTTTAGTAATAAAAAGTTATTTTCAACAAAAATCATAATAGTCTTCCTTTGGGGTTTTTCTTGGCTTGGTTTATATAACCCTCCCCACAGCAAATTATCACTTGTTATTTGGGTTCCACAGACCCCTTAAATAAAGGAGAAAAAGAAACTAGAGAATGCTAATATAAAGTCAGTTTATTAAATTAAATCTTGAAACTGTCTGATGGCCTTGGGAAAAGATGTTTATTTTTCTTCAATATAATCTGCAGAAGAGGAGCATTCATTTGCTTGCAAAGGCCATAATCTGTTCCTAAAGAGAAATGAAACAAAGTGAGTGATACTCTAACATTGTGAGGGCGGGTGAAGAAAATACTTTCAAGTATTCAAAGTGATTAAAGCAAAAACTCAGCAAAAGTCCCAGATACTCTTCACAAGAGTCCCTCCAAAGTGCCTTTCAATGGATGTTTCTCAGTAGAAAAAGCTGACCAAGCAGCAAAAGGAGTTGAAGCATCTTTATCTTTGAAAGCCCCTACTTGCTATTTTAAGCCCTTCCTTATCCTGTATAAAATTACTGCTTAGATAGGCCCTAGCACCAACAAGCCCAGCAAGGTCTTTTTTGCTCATTATTGCTGGAGAAGATAAAAAGGATAATTTTAGAGCCAAGAAAATTAATTCAAATTAACTAAGTCATTGGCAAAGTCATTCCTCGGTGACCAAGACTCTGAGAGCCATGAGCGACCTCTTACTTTGAGTGGAGACACTGCATTTGTGGCCTGCAAGCCCCACGTCCTGAGCAGCACAAGAGGGGTAGCACTGGTGGAATAGAGCCTTTTTAGCAGGTCAGTAGCAGCCAGAAGAGCAGTGTTGTGACGTTGTCGGTCTGTCTCGTAACCTGTGAGGTGGCTCATGGAGCCTGGAGGAAAAAAGGAAAGTTACACCCTAATCCCATAGTGAAGTTTTCTTTCCAAGAAAAGTGCACACACTTATGTCCACCACATCTGGCTACTGAGGGGCATTCAGGGGTCCTGATTTTCCCTAACTACATGACCCCTGGATACTTCTTTAAGGTACTAGAATCCTTACCCAAGTCTTTCCCATCGAAGGCTGCAGTTCTAAGGTGATGGACCAAGCTGGAGATATCCCCAAAGCCCATGTTGACACCTTGTCCTGCCAGTGGATGGACTCTGTGGGCTGCATCCCTGCAAATGAAGCAGAGTTTAGGTGTGGCCTCCAGCAACAGAGTGAGAAGGGAATAGCTCTGCTCTGCCATTATCTTACCCGATGAGCGCCAGCCGAGGCCGGACGTACTCAGCAGCATGTCCCAACCCAAGAGGAAACAGTACTCGGCTTTTGGCGTCCACCTTGGCTACGCTTGGCGGCAGCTGGCGAGCTGAGACCTTAGTGGGCTTCAGAAAGGCAACAGCGTAGTGCAGCATGGTGCTGGCCGAGTCAACGAAGTCTGTGTGGTTAGCATCACTCCACTGAGTAGCATCAGCCACAAAACAAAAGTGAAATTTCATCAGTGACTAGCAGGGGATTAAAAATTAAACAAGGAAACTCTTTTTATAACCAAAGCCAAGGGCAATGGTACCTAACATGCCTAAAATAATCTAGACCCCCAAATGACAAGTCCCTCCAATAAAGGCAAAACACAGATTCCAGGTTGTAGGATCAAGCCAAATTGCTAAGCCCCAACCTCAATAACCTGCACCAGCCACAATGTAGCTCATTCTACAACATCCTCTTGCCTCTGACACACCCCTCTGCTTAGAATGTCCTCCCACTTAGACTTCACCAGGATCTCACCTCAGAGCACCCGAGGCTGTCAGCTCTTTTTATAAACCTTCCAAACTCGCCTGTGTGTGCTCACCTCTTTGTTCCCATAGCATCCTATGCATACTTCTACCACTGTTCTGAAATTGATGTGCCTTTCTCCTCACTTGACTATGAGCTGCCCTAAAAGCAGGGACTGTGTCTATCACCAGACCCTTTTATGTAGAAGGCACTTGTAATTATCTATATAATAAAAGCCTAAGCGACTGTTACGGCAGAATGACCAGAACGACTGGTCACTATGATGTGCACTGACCACCAGGGGGCAGATGCTCAATGCTGGAGCTGCCCCCTGGTGGTCAGTGCGCTTCCACAGGGGGAGCGCTGCTCAGCCAGAAGCCGGGCTCACAGCTGGCGAGCTCAGCGGCAGTGGTGGGAGCCTCTCCTATCTCCACAGCAGTGCTAAGGAGCAGCGAGCCAAGAGGTAAGGAGCAGCGAGCAGGCAGGCGATAAGGAGAGAGGGGTTCCAGACTGCGAGAGGGTGCAGGCCGGGCTGAGGGATCCTCCCCCACCATAACCCCCCCCCAAGTGCATGAATTTTGTGCACCGGGCCTCTAGTTGCTAAAATGAATGTCCTACAGAGTCCTGTGCCAGGAATACTAGTATATGCTAAATGGCCCAGTGGGGGGTAGCAGTTATCTTGGAAGCCACTTAAGTATGTTTAGTTCCTTTTACTGTTACTACCATTGAGCAGTGAAACTTAAGTTCTTTGGTGTGAATTATTAGTGAGGTAGTGGAGTTTGGTAGTTAAAACCACAGACTTGAGGGAGAGCCTCATTTCAGAACCCAGCTTTGCACAAGAGGTAGGATCTTGGGCAAGTTACCTATCTCTAAGTGAGCATGTTAACAGTACCTACACCTCAGAGAGTCACTGATTTAAATACATACATGCAGGTAAAACTCTTCCCCTGTACCTGGCACATAGTAAGCGCTCGATAAATGTTACCAATTATATTAGTGAATTTAGATAAATGTAGCATTTAAACTTCAAAAATAATGTGCCATATCTAAAAGCCATATTACTCCAGAATCATTACTATTTGAGCACCTATAATGTATGAGGTATGCTGCAAGCATTTTACGTAAAGTCTCTCATCTTAAGTCTTTAGACTTTTACTATTATTAACCTCTCAGAGGTTGGTGATAGTATTTCCATTTTTCAGGAGATTTACAGTTAGTACCAGTATTGAACCTATGTCTGTCTAAAGCAAGGGTGGGGAACCCTTTTTCTGCCAGGGGCCATTTGGATATTTATAACGTCATTCAAGGACCATACAAAATTATCAATTTAGAAATTAGCCTGCTATATTTGGTCAAACATTAACTAACTCACCCCTAATGCCTTGGCAGGGCCAGACCAAATGATTTTGCGGGCCTTACATGGCCCATGGGCCCGACATTCCCCACCTCTGGTCTAAAACTTTTAAGACCCCCACTGAAATGTGATTAACCCCTCTCCAAAACATTCTGATGCATCAGGCTTCAGAGGTTCAGGCACCTGGGACCCAGTAGAGCTGCTCAAGATTACCTAAGAATTACAGCTTCAAAAGAGGCCAGTGCTAACTTCCACCCAGGCAGCTGTTCAATCAGCATAACAGCAGCCCGTGACCCTCAAAAGAGCATGGTGCTCTTGTTTGGATTTCCCTGAATGCCCTCCTCCACGTCATCCAGACCAAGCCTTTCAGTTACAAAAGGGCAGCTGGTTGGTTACTTCTTTTTCCTACTCAAACTGCCTTTCTGTATCAACCCCTGCAACACCTAATCAGGCAGACAAGTTGATACTCACAAAGGCGGAGTTAATGGCATCCACAAAGTTCTCCTCGTCCATGCTGACCAGCTCTGCTGCATGCTCATGGGATGTGGACCAGACCAAGGAACTCAAGGTGTCTGAGAGCTGTCTCAAAAGAACACCATCAATACTGAGAGCTAAAACTTCTGTTCTTGGGCACTATCAAGCACAAAGGTATGAAGGAGAAACGAAGCTAGCCTGGAGATACTTCACTTGGAACCTGAAAATGGCTGAGAGAAAATGAAGTCCTAAAAGGTAGGCTGGATGTGTTTAAGCAGACTAGCCAGACAGACTTCTTACCGGGAGCAGAGCGATGGGCCCTGAGGGAAGAAATCTCTGCCAAGCTACATTGTTTTCTGTGACCTGTAATAGAAAGGAGACCGGTTGTGAGAAGTACACACATAAAACACCAGCAGGGTCCCCAGATGGTGGGCTCAGGGTCGTATTTTTTTTTTTAAATCCTCACCTGCGGATATGTTTATTGATTTTAGAGGGAGAAGAAGGGAGAGATAAAGGGACAGGAAAACATCCATGTGAGAAAGAAACATCAATCGGTTGCCTCTTATATGTGCCCCAACTAGGGATCAAACCCGCAACCTAGGCATGCACCCTGACTGGAATCGAACCTGCCCTCTTTCGGTACACAGGACAATGTTCCAACCAACTGAACCACACTGGCCAGGGCTGGGCTCAGGATCTTACCTCCGATAAATGCAGAGTAGCCACAACAGCAGACTGGTCGTAGTCCCAGCTGACATTCTGGATTCCAGCAGCTTGCCGTACTCCTGAGTTGTGACCATCTGCACCAATCTGCACAGAGACAAGAGCCTGCTAAGTCTTATAATCTTTGAGTAAATGAAACTGCTCCAGAAGTTTGTCTCTGCCTCCTAAAGATTTCTCTAGTTCTAACTGCTGGCAAGCCCATCTATGGCAGACAACTTTTTATCATGCCTGCCTCACTCACAGCTCTAAAGGGGTGGCTCTACATATGTGACCCCGGCCTTAGCTGGGGTCAGACCAAAGCTGGACATCTGACCCACAAGGTGCCAGCCACAGGTTAAACCCAGCCAGATTCCCTTGCTATTTGGACTAGAAAGCAATAGGCAGGCACCAGAGCTGAACAGTCCTGATGTAAGGTGAGGGAGGGCTGCCATGGAAAAGGGAAAGCTGATGAGCAGAGAGAGGAAAAATATAAGACACAAGGAGATGACTTACAGGACTCCTGGGAGGGAAAGAACAGGCTCAAGTTCTGATACTCTGGTTCCTGTCTCTGTGAGGCCAGCTGTCCTTATTTCATGACCTAAGATGGTCCAGGAGATTTGGTCCTGTACAGGATTTACAACAAGACCATCTTAACTGGAGCTGGCTTACTGGGTACTGGTCCTTATAACCAAAAGCTTAGCCTAAAATTAACATCAACTGTAGCTTAGATGGAAAACTAGAGGCCCTAGAATTGAGGCTACAATGTGGCTATGCAAGACCCCTGGCGAAATAAGAATCTTTAACTACCAACAATTTGGTCTGGAGGGTGCTGCCATCACCTAGGGTAATATGAACCCAAGGGCTGGAGTCTGCCATGGAAATTGGAGAAGGCCAGGTATAGCCGACTGCTTTGCTCCGGTAGAGAACAGTCACTCGGTCTAGGGAGGTCAGAAGAGAAAACACAAAACATTAGGAAGACAGCCCACACAGGCTTGAAGAAAAGCCATAACTAAACCTAAAGCAAGGTCCCAGGACAGCTGTCTCTTGTCCTTTACTCCTAAACAAGAAAAGATCGGAAAAAAACCTCATGTGACTGGTGCTGTCATCTGAGAGCTGATAAACAACAAAACCACAGGGATGAATCAGTGTAAAAAATCAATCTCTCAGTGAATTACCAGCCTACAGCAGGCACTCTTCCCCTCCTGCTCTTCCAGTTCACTCTACGCTTAAATGAGCCCATGTGTGCTTTCAGAGTAAACAGCATGGAAATACCACGGGCTCAAACTTCTAGATTTCATAACATTTTTCTTCCTCCTGGAAATCATTTTACTTCTCTGACCATAAAAATGATATGCTCACTGTAAAAGTCTGAACAAAAGAAAAGTTTAAAAGGGGGGTGGGGGGAACCACCCTCAATCATGCCACTCAGAGACAACTACAGTTAAGGCTTTGCCATAGAGCTTACCAAACAATTTCCATACATGTTTATGTGGCGTGCACACCCTCACACACACAAGTGGGATCATGTGACATGTAATATTTTTCACCAATCGACTGTGGGACATATTTCTAAGTTACTAAATATTAGGTCTAAATTATCTTTAAAAGATGCACAGAAGCTCATTACATGGGTGAACTACTACCCATACCAAAAGCATTTCAGGTTGCTTCCAATTTTTTCTCTTTAGAATAACCCTGAAATACTTGCAAATCATATATTGAATAAGGAATTTATATTCAGAATACATAAAGAACTCTGGCCTGGCCGATATAGCTCAGGGGTTGAGAGTTGACCTATGAACCAAGAGGTCACGGTTCGATTCCTGATCAGGGCACATGCTAGGGTTGCGGGCTCAATCCCCAGTGGGGAGTAAACAGGAGGCAGCCGATCAATGATTCTCTCTCATCACTGATGTTTCTAGCTCTCTCTTCCTCTCTGAAATCAATTTTTTTTAAATTAAAAAAGAACTCCTATAACTCACAAAAAGACAAATAATCCAGTTTTTAAATGGGCAAAAGATTCTGAATACACCTTTCTCCAAAGACAAACAAATGACCAAAAAGTACATGAAAAGACACTCAACATTATTAGTCATCAGGGAAATACGATCCAAACTATAATGAGATACCATTCCATAGTCATTAGGATAGCTATTTTTAAAAAAAAGGGGGGTAGGAGCCCTGACTGAGTAGCTCAGTTGGTTAGAGCATCCTCCCAGTATGCCAAGTTTATGGGTTTGATCCCTGGTCAGGGCACATACAAGGGAATACAACTGGCAATAAAAAAGAATAAAGTACTGACACATGTTACAACATGAATACATCTCAAAAATACATTCAATAGGAGAAGTCAGACACCAAAGAATACATGTTTTATGAGTCTAACTCTATGAAATGTCCAGAACAGGCAAATCCCAAAAGACAGAAAGTAGAGTAGTGGTGCCAGGGGCTGGGGGTTGGATTGGGGAATATTATGAATGAGCTCCAGGTTTCCTCTGAGGTAATGGAAATATTCTAAAGTCATGTGATGATGGTGGCATTAACTCTATAAATAAAAAAATCATTGAATTGTACACTTAAAATGGGTAAATTTTTTGGTATGTAAATTATACCTGGATAAAGCTGTAAAAGAAAAACCCTAAGTATCAGAATGTTTGTTTATGGTGCACATTCAGTATTTGTAAAAGGGATCCTTTCTTCCAACGAGCCCTAGAATAACTCTAAAGAGGTTCACTTTCCAGAGAATGAAAGGGCGATGGAGAGGTGGGGCCTCACCTGACACGGCCTCCAGCTGCTTCGTGAGGGCATGCATGATGACGTCGTTCTCCACTATGTAGCCCATGTCATCCAGGTTATCCTTGTCGAACATGATCAGGGCTTCTGAGCAGGCGTCCCACACCTGGCAACACAAAGGGAACGTCTGTGTGACAACCCAAGGAAAAGGAAACATTACTGCTTTCCCAAGTGACAGAGCAGAATAACCACACACTGTCAATCCCTCTGGCAGGACATAAGGAGAAGAAAATTCTCTTGGGAATGCTTTGCCCCACTTTCTTAGACGGAGTGTGGACATTGATTCTTGCCACAGTCTCAGAAAACCTGGAGAATGTGGACTCTAATATCTTAACACAAGACAGGCCAAGGTATCTTGCCAAGAATGATAAAGGAAGCACCTGCATTCGCCGAAAGGCTCTGTATCTCATGTTGCAGATGTGGTCCCAGGCACCGAAACCTACAAAAGAAAGGATCTATGTAGAGAGCAGAGCATCCTTCCTGGGCTCCCCTGTGTCCCTCCATCTTGTTGTTAGAGGTTGTTCTCAGTGTTCTCCATAATAGAGAAATACTCTCCCCTTCTATCCTGTTTGATGGCAGGTGCTACACTACTCTGTTCCCCAGTTCAGATTACACAGTATGAAAAAGACCCAGCTTTCATGATCAACAGGTCAAATCACATTGTAAAGTAGGGGAAACGAATAAGGAAATCTAAGCCATACTGTTCTTTTTTCTTTGCCATCCTATTGAAGTTACAAACTCTCTGAATAAAGACTACTTTTTGTTGATCTCCATGGCACTGAAGAGATTCACTCATTGAGGAAATATTTACAGAGCACCTAAAATGTGACAAATACATTTCTAGGTACTGAGCAAAAAGTGGAAACCAAATGGACAAAGTCCCCACCTTTCTGTAGCTAACATTCTAATGTATTATTTGTAGTAAAAAACAAATACATAATATAATGTCAGGTGGTAGTGTTATGAAGAAAAATAAAGCAATATAAGGGGCTAGAGAGTGATACAAGAGTCTATTTTAGATAAGGTGGTTCCAGACAGGATAGTCTGAGGGAATAACATTTGGCAGAGACCTAAAGACAATTTGCTGACAGCTGGTCCTGTTTGCACACATCCATCTTCACCCCAAAAGCATTTATTACACAGGCTCCCTAGCTTCCTACAGGGCGGACTCTGGGAATGAAGAGGGTGGGGCTACTGGAAGTGAATGCTCATAATTAGTTCATGTAGTTTTAGTTCCACCCATTTATAATGACCCCACATCACAAATGAAGTCTATGCGATGGACCCACATGTCCCAAGGATATCTTCCTCAGACTGGGAATTGGCACATTAACAATTTCAGAGGTCCTCATCTTCAACTACGTGCCAGACTCTAACCACACCCCTCTCTCCTACCCGCCTCAGCGAGCTCCCTCCACCCAGATGCTCTGGGGCACCCTGGGGAGCCGAGAGAGACAGATTGGTTCTATGAGAGAGGATGTTCTACTCACTACTGAGAAGGGTTGCAGAGCCAGGGGAAATGGAGCTGACCCTGTTGCTGTAAGTTTCTGGCAATTTCTCCAATACTTTCTTTGGACCTGCTTCTAGCAACAGGATTTTCTTATCATGAAAGTGAATATCATATCCTAAAAAAAACAAAACAAAACAAAAAAACAGGCAAAATTTTATATCATTTTAGGAAAATCAGAATTTATTTTTTCATTGCCAAGAGAAGCAACAATTAATTCCTGAACCCTTAGGTACAAATTTTTTACAAAGCACACAAAAAGGAAAAACCATGCAGAGTCCTAAGCAGTAACATATACCACCATTTCAGCCATGAGCCACCCTGCCAACTGCCGTAAGGTAGTATTTAGACACCAGATATTTCTAATCCTCAAAGAATAACATCACTGAAAATTACAAGTCCTGTTCAACAGAAAAAATGTAGCTAATAAGCAAAATTCATTGTGGCGTCAAGATTAACTCAAGGATAAAGAATTAGTCTGTAAAAGGGGGCCAAAAATACATCAGTTGTGCCTACAAATGTGATCCTAAAACAGTGCAGAGGAAGTAAAAAGGGAACTTGGGCCCAGCTGGGGTGGCTCAGTGGTCGAGCGTCGACCTATGAACCAGGAGGCAAGGGTTTGATTGCCGGTTAGGGCACATGCCCAGGTTGCAGGCTCCATCCCTAATGTGGGGTGTACAGGAGGCAGCTAATCAATGATTCTCTCTCATCATTGATGTTTCTACCTCTCTCTCCCTCTCCCTTCCTCTCTGAAATAAAAAAAAATTATTTAAAATAAAAAAAGGGGGGGGGGGGCTTGGGGATTCCATCACTGGGTGTCTGTAGCACATTACAGTCAGTCCCTCCAGTGTCTCAGAAAAAGACACAGGGGAAAAACATGCAGTGAGTTGCTGCTGCCAATAAAGGAGAAAAATATGTGATAGAATTGCCCGACCACCTCCCCCGACCCCGTTCCTCTAGGAGAGCTTCCTCTCATTCCTCCTTTGATCAGTTATTTACAAATCTTTTTCCTTTGCTAGATTCTAAACTCCTAGGGGACAGGAATTTTTTCCCCTTATATTAATATCCCCAGCAGCAAATGCTGTTATCTCCTCAATCCATAAAGTAGATAATGTCTTCACAGAGATTTTTGTTAAACCAGAGACCAGGAAACTAACAGGAAAAGAATTAGATTTCCAAACACATTATAAGATATAGCCAAGTTTAATACATTATTTTTTAGCTATTTAATGTAACATTTTAGAAAACTCATTTGTCAAAAAAATATTAGAGAATTTACAAGTTTACAAATAACAATGTAAAAGGGAAATACAGATATTTCAAGCCTAGAACAGAAATCTGAGTTTAAAGAAAAATCAAGGAAAACATAAACTGACTGATATGACAAGATGAAGAGCCATCTATCTAAAATCAAATGGGTGTGGAACTATAAAGTAAGGTCAGTCAGGATATCAACTACTGACAAGGCATTTTCTTTGGGATACATGCCATGATGATCAAGGAGAGACATTAGCACACACAAAATCCCAAGCAGGTAGTTCACCTGACTCAACAGGAGAAAACACCCCCCACTACACCTGCCTATGAAAGGTGTATAACACTGTACAAAAGTTAAGAGGTAAAGTTATTACAAGACAATTACGCACTTCCCTGTGTTTTTCATTCTCAAAGTGCGGTCCTCAGATCTGCATCCATCCCCAGAGACACATGTTAATAAAGGGCCTCACCTGGGCAAACTGAATCAGTTACTGGAGGTAGAACTGTGAACCCTCATTTCTAAAGTATCCCCCACAAACGGGCAACAATGATTGTCCTTGAAGAGAACTGGGTGGCTAACAATAAAAAATGAAGTCTTACTTTATATGCTTTACTAGAGGCTCGGTGTACGGACTTGTGGGGGAGGAGAGGGGTCCCTCGGCATGGCCTGCGGGGATCCGGCCTAAACCGGCAGTCCAACACTGCCTGCCGCTCCTGCTCATCCCTGCACCGCTGTGCCTGCTGCCACCCGTCAGTAGGCTCACTGCTACTCCGCTGCGGTCTCCAGGCTGTGGTGGCCAGCCGTGAGCTCTGCATCTGGCACCCCTTGGTCAGCTGAGCGGCGCTCCCGCTGTGGGAGCGCACTGACCACCAGGGGGCAGCTCCTGCATTGAGCATCTGCCCCCTGGTGATAAGTGCGCGTCATAGCAACCGGTTGAACGGTCAAACGGTTGCTTAGGCTTTTTAGATAGATAGATAGATAGATAGATAGATAGATAGATAGATAATCTATATCCAATACCCTTTGTATTTCAAAATTCCTTTTGAATTTTATGTATGTGCCTGTCTTAGTTTTCAAAACCCAAAACCAAAGCAAAACAAAACAACCCAGGTGATTCTTAAATGCACCTGAGAACCACTATTTTAATCCATTTATCAATAGGTACAACCAAAATAGCTGTCAGGGAGAAAGGGTATATACACAAAAATCTTTGCTTTTCCTAATTACTGGCTGTTGAGTGCAAATTACTTAAGTTTTCTTGAGCTTTAACTTCCTTACCTGCACAATCAACAATCAAGATTATTATGAAGATTAAATAAAAATGTATGTAGAATACTTTAAAATATGCCTATCCATAGCAAGTGCTTAATAATTGATAACTATGTTTTCTATAATTACTTTGAGACTCAAGCCCATCAGCTTATACATAGCATTGTTTCCCACTAGTTTCCTAGAAGAGGAACCACACTCTAATTCTCAAGTCAACAAACACTATTAGTGATCTTTGTGAGGCCAGAAAAATCAAACCTAATTTCTGAAAGTCACTGTACAGTTGTTAAAAGCAAACTTTCCTGAGTTTGGTGGCCTGGGTTTGAATTCAAATTCTGCTAGTGCCTGGTTATGAGACTCTGGTCCTTACTTAACCTTTGCCAAGGCAACTTTTCTCATATAAGATATGAAAGTATTATCTACCTCACAAGGTAGTGAAGCAGCCAAAACTATAAATATGAAAGCAAAGTTCTTACCTCACCTTATACACAAAGTTTAACTCAAAGTAGATGATGGCTTAAATGTAAAAGCTAAAACTATAAAACTCTCAAAAGAAAGCATAGGAGTGAATCTTCATGACTTTGGGTTGGGTAATGATTTCTTAGATATGACACCAAAAACATAAGTGGTGAAAGACTGGTAAGTTCAATTTCATCAAAATTAAAAACTTCTGACGCTAGCCGGTTTGGCTCAGTGGTTAGAGCGTCAGCCTGTGGACTGAGGGTTGTGGGTTCAATTCCAGTCAAGGGCATGTACCTGGATTGCAGGCTGGATCCTCACTCCCAGTCGGTCTGTGTGCAGGAGGCAACCAATCAATGTCTCTCTCACATTGATGTTTCTCTCTCTATCTTTCCCCCTCCCTTCCACTCTCTCTAAAAATCAATGGAAAAAATATCCTCAGGTAAGGAACAAAAAATAAAAAGTAAAAAAGTTTTGGGCTTCAAAGGACTCCATCAAGAAAGTGAAAAGACAACCCACAAAATGGGAGAAAATATTTGCAAATCATTTATCTGACAAGGGATGTGTACTGAGAATTCATGAAATACTCTTACAACTCAAAAATAAAGACAAATAGTTCAAATGGGCAAAAACTGTAACAGGCATTTCCCCAAAAGATATACAAATGACCAATAAGCATATGAAAGGATGTTCACGACCACTCGTCTTTATGGAGATGCAATTCAAAACCAGGAGATACCATTTCACACTCAATGGAATGACTAAAAACAAAAGAACATTAACAAGTGTCCAGGATGTAGAAAAACTGGACCACTCCTATGTTGCCGGGAGGAATGTAAAATGGTGCAACCACTTTGGAACACTGTTTGGCTGAATTACCATATGACCCAGCAATTTCACTCCTAGGAATCTATTTAAGATAACCAAAAATATGTTTACACAAAAGCGTATACACAAAATCATCCATCACTTAATGAATGAATGAACAAAACGTATTATATCCACACAATGGAATATTACTCAGCCATAAAATGAATGAAGTATTGGCACATGATACAGCCGATGAACCTTGAGAACATTAAGTAGATTTCACGTAGATGGAAATGTCCAGTAAAAGCAAATCTACAGACAGAAAAATACATGAGTGGTTGCCTAGAGCAGTGATTTGCAACCAGTGGTGCTGCAGGAATTTTTAAAACATGCAATCCCTGACTAGTCAGGGGCATTGACCTCTTTCCCTTGTCAAATTCAAAAATGGCAACTGCCAACACAACAGCCGTCCGTGTGAATGAATCAAAATTATACCTATTTATACCTATTTTTTTGTCAGATGGGCAAAAAATATATGTTTTGGAATTTCAGTAATTAGTTTATGTGTGCCATAAGATGAAAGCCATTGAAAATCACTGGCCTAGAGCTAAGAGTGGGGGGAAATGGGCAGTGGCTGCCAATGAGTTCAGATTTCTTTTGGAGGTAATAAACATGTTCCAAAATGTGTCGTGATGGCTGCACAGTTCTGTGAGTACACAAAAAAACACGCACATTAAATTGTATGCTTCAAATGGGTGGACTTTAACTCTGGCCCCGTAGCTCAGTGTGTTACGGTGTCCCATCCACCAAGGTTGCGGTTCCATCCAAACAACAATCAACCAATGAATGCAAAAATAAGCGGGACAACAAATCCATGTTTCTCTCTCTCAAATCCGTCAATAAATAAAATAGTGGTAAATGGGTGAAATTTATGGTATGCAAATTATATTTCAATGAAGCTGTTAAAACACACACACACAAAGAGGAAAGAAAGGAAAGAGGGGGAGGGGGGGGAGAAAACACCTAGCTAGCCCAATGCAACAATGCCTGACTGCTTCCAGTTTTGCCCATAGCTAAATAACTCTGAGCAGGTCTACACTGAGTGGCCAGATTATTATGAACACCCCATCAGTACTTCCAAAAATACTGAATATTGAAAACTCCCTAAGCAAATACTCTCAAGGTTTTATTATTATTACTTGCATAACTAATTCACTTCATAGCACTGATGGGGTGGTCATAACAATCTGGCCGCTCAGTGTGTTTCCCTTCAGGTTGGAAGGACTCCTAAGGTACCTCCCACTTTTGACCCTTTGGCACGCGAAGAACCAAACGCTTGCCCTGGGGCCCCGGAGATCCTCTGGGGAGGGAAGGGGCCACAAGATCCGCAACGCTCAGACTTTGGGAAAACAGTGCCAGAACTCCCAGGGTCCCCACCGCTCCACGGCCCCTCTCCCCCACACGGCTGGCCTTGGAGATGCGCTTACCCAAGGCACAGGCCATGGCGGCGCCCACCAGGCCTCCACCTGACACCACCACATCGTACACGGTGTCTGCCGGGGCACCGGCCCACCTCCGACAGGAGACTAGCGGGCCTCCGCGGGCAGCCGCACGTGCAGCCCCGACCCGGCTCCCAGCCAACAGAGCCGCCATGGTGCAGACCCGCTCCCTCCTCCGGCACCCCGCTAGGCCCGCCTTGGGTAGCACTTCCAGAGCAGAGCCCTCCAATCACTTGCCGCCTCAGCCTCGCGGCCTCAGAACCGGAAATAGGACGTGAAAGGGAATAGCCAATCGGAGAACAAGTCTTGCCTCGTTGGGCGGGATGGATTGGAGGCTCCCTGGTAGGGGACTGGTTCAAGCATCCGCCTGGGAGCCAATCAGAGCACAGGTCTAGAAAGGGGCGGGGCTTGGCTTGCGTAGGTAGCGCCGCCACCGCAGTCACCGCTGGTGTCGCGGACGCTCTGTCTCTGCCCCACTGAGAAGATGACCGTGGGGAGGCGTGCGGGAGCCTCGGGCGGCGCTCGGAGCCTTCAGGTGAGGAAGAAAACAGAGGGGGAAATCAGGTCTGGGCCCCGGAAAGGAGTGCCTCAGAGAGGAAAGTGTTTGACGTTGCCTTGGAGACAGACGTAGGGGCGTGGTCCCGAGGGGCGTGGGATTAAAATTGGTCGCGTTTAGCCCTGCCTGAACCCATGAGCCCTATGTCCGGCTCTTCGCAGAACCGTGCAGTGGCCCTCAGTTTTCGCTTTATCCTCTCAGCTACCCTAGGGCTGTCGTGACTGTTGTCTCCATTTTGTAGAAGAGAAAACCGTGGCACAGAGATTAAGAAATTTGCCCCAAATCCATATAAACAAAGTAGAATGGTGATTGCTTAGGGCTGGCGGGAAGGATGAGGGATGAGCTGGGAAGTGAGGTGGGGAAGGGTTGGGAAGGTTGGGGGAAACAGGGAGTGACTGCTTAATGGTATGGGGCTTCTTTTTGGAGTGATTAACATGTAAAACTGGTGGCGGTTGCACAACTGTGAATATACTAAAACCCACTGCACACTTTATTTATTTTTATTTTTAATTTATTTTATTGAGTTTTTACAGAGAGGAAGGGAGAGCGATAGAGAGTTAGAAACATCGATCAGCTGCCTCCTGCACACCCCCTACTGGGGATGTGCCCGCAACCAAGGTACATGCCCTTGACCGGAATCGAACCTGGGACCCTTCAGTCCGCAGGCCGACGCTCTACCCACTGAGCCAAACCGGCCAGGGCCCCACTGCACACTTTAAATAAGTGAATTCTATGTATTGCATGATATGTGAATTATATCTCAATAAAGTCCTTTAAAAAGGAAGTTTCCTAAGATCACACACTCTTCAGTAGCAGAGTGAGGGCTAGAGCACCTACATACCTTTGACTCAGTCTAGTGATCTTTGCAGTGTTAGAGCTGGACCTTAGAGAACCCAGTAAAATCATCAGCAAGTCCAGCTGCAGTCAGTCATCCTCTGGTCCCATCCTGGCACCACCACACCTTTCACACTGGCCCTCTTACTACCTCTCCAAGAGCCAAGTGTGTTCCTGCCTCAGGTCCCTGCCTCAAGGTCTTTGCTGTTCCTTGAACCCAGAAACCGCTTACCCCAGATCTGAGCAAGGCTGGCTCCTTCCCATCAGTCATGTGTAAATCCCGAACTCCTCCACAGTGAGAAGTGAAAATCACCCCAGGTCTGAGAAAGTACAATTCAGACGGTATTAGACAGATAAGGACAGCAGCAAGATCAGCAGAAAACGGTGTTTCTCAGAGGACCACACCATTCTGTAAAATGACCAACACCCCCTTCTAAATGGTTATGCTTACCTATCAATTACTTACCCAGCCCACTTGTTCTTGTCACTTTTTTTTAAAAAAAAATTTTTTAATTTTGTTTTATTGCTTAAAGTATTACAAAGAGTATTACATATGTCTCCTTTTTTTCCCACCTTGACATTCCCCCAGCCTCCCCTACCCTGTTCTTGTCACCTTTTGAGTAAAAATTGCTCAGTCATCCACTTAGTAAACTGCCCCCTCTTCACGACAGCATCCACTCAGAGTTGGTCCCTGCTTCCCCTAACTCTCATCAGAATTATTCAGGACAAGCTAATCCTAGAAAAAGCCCCTCTCCCACCCTCTAACTAAAAGCTAGCCCCTCCTGAGTTCCCTATAATTTTCCATAGTTTACTGCAGCAAGTTAATAAACCTAACTCTGATTATAGTACAAGCATACACACCTACCACAATATGTTTCTATCTTTACATAAATATATATGGTCTTTATCTGATGGTTTTTTTTAGCCCATATATAAGGAAAGCTTCCTGTAGCTACTCTTATAATCCCATAGTTGTATGGATTTCACTAAATTATTATCTTTTATCTTATGTCTTCCTTTACTAGAATGTTAGCTTCATGAAGGTAGGGGCCTTGTCCTGTTCTCAGCTTAATGCCTAGAGCAGATTAATCACCTAATAATGTATATTTTCTGGAGTATTTAAACCCAGATGGGTTTCCCATATTCTAGAACATTGCTCATTCAGCTAGACCACATTGTCTCTCCTGTTAATTATCCATTCCTAGTGACACAGTGGAAATCAGTTAGAATATGAGGAAAGCAAAGGTGTAGACAGAGGAAGCAAGAAAAGGAAGATTGACAAAAGTTGGTAAAACCCAAATAGGGCAGGGCCCAAAGTGTGGCCAAGGTCATGGGTAGGATTCCTGGAGGGAGCAGAATGCCTGGTGCAGAGTAGTTTCTCTGTAAATGCTCACCGCACTGCATGAAGTAGGGACCCAATTTCAGCTCTTTGCTTCTCTTTCCCGTCTTTTGTCAACCAAAGATTGCTGCCACAATTCAACACCATCAGAAGTCCCCAATTTTGGGTGCGGTCCAGGAGAGATTTTATTCAGTAAAACAACTCAAAGGGTTGCAGCTCAGTTTGCAAACCTGGGAAACACAATCTGCTGGCTTATACAGAGAAGAGTGTCTGCCTTCTAGTCTCTGATTGATCAGTTTTCATACAAATGAACCACAGACTTCTTGTGTTCTGATTGGTCAGTTAATATGCAAATGGGGACATAGTTGCACAGCTCCAATTGGATAGGGTAGGTCTTCAGCCCATTGGTTGAATTATAGCTCCAGGAGCTCTATTATAAGGGTCAACTCAGATGGCAGGAACACAGTACATGAGGCTGGCAGCTCCAGCTGAGGTTTTCCCTGACATGCCGTGGGGGTGAGGGACCATTGTAGACAATGGCTGCTACACTCTGGTTATGAATTTGAGCCCAATTAACACAAGGAGTCCTTGGCAGGTATATTCTTTCTTGGGATTGACACCTTCAACCAAGCACACCCCATATACCAATTTGTGAAATTTCTTTTTTTTTTTTCTTGGATAAAAATTCTTTTTTTTTTAAATTTTGTTTTATTGCTTAAAGTATTACAAAGAGTATTACATATGTCTCCTTTTTTCCCCCCCTTGACCTTGCCCCGGCCTCCCCTACCCCCCAGTGTCTTGTGTCCATTGGTTATGCTTATATGCATGCATACAAGTC